CCCCCCTCCCTCCTGCCTTGCAGGCCCCGCGGGACGAGCAGGAGCTGCTGTGCGGGCAGATCGCGGGGGTGGCCCGCTGCGCCCTGGAGATCTCGGGCTCCCCGCCGGGCCTCATCCGGCTGCGGAAGCTGAAGTTCGCGCTGGAGGCCGAGGGCAGCTTCCTGTGGGTGAGTCCGAGGGGCTGGGAGGGGCAGGGAGGGGGCGGCGGGTTTGGGGTCCTTGGCCCACGCCGGCCCTTCCTTCCTTCCTCCCTTCTCTCCCGCAGGTCCTGGGCTGCACCGCCGACCTCTCGGACCTCAGCTGCAGGCGGCTCCTGGAGCGGCTGCTCGGCCTCTTCCGCTTCTACAACGGGCCGGCTTCCCGGGCCTACCTGGTGGGTGTTTCCCCCTGCCTGCCTGGGCTGCTCCGGGTTCACTGAGGCCGCCTGAGGGCCCCCCCAAAAAAGGAGGGCCTTCCTCCATGGCAGAGGGGGGGGCTGGGCAGCTCGTGTCTTGAAGAGAGGGGCCGCCCGTCCCCTGCCCCCACTTCTGACCTGCTGCTCTCTGCCCTCCCCAGGAGCGCCCCCAGGAGGACCTCGACCGGGAGTGGGAGCTGTACGTGGCCCACCTGCAGCAAAGCTCCAGCGACCTCCACCGGGTCTTTGACTCCCTCTGGGCCTGGGACAAAACCAAGGTGCCTCCCTGGAGGGCCTGCAGCTCACCGGGCTTTCTGGCAGGGAGGGCCAGGCGGGACGAGGCCCTTCGGCTGCCACGAGGGGCCTAGAAGGGCCGTTTGCTCCGCTCTCTCCTCTCTGCCAGGTGGACCCTCTGCTCCTGCTGAAGGCTGCCCTCATCCTGCAGAGCTGCCAGCGTTCGCGCCACGTGCTGGCCGGCTGCATCCTCTACGAGGGCCGGTGAGTGTCTGAGGAGCAGGGGGGGGTCAGCACTGAGACTTACGGCCTCCTCCACTGGCCTTCGCTCAGCACCTCCGAAGACAACCAGCTCCAGAACGGCTGTGTGTCAGTTCGGGGCCAGATCCATCCCCTGTACCCCATATCCCCCCCTCCAACGTGAAGACCTCCGCACGGCCAAGTGGTCAGGGGCCTCCTTGTGCTCTTGGGTGGGCCTCCTCCTGCAGGGATTGGGGGCTTGTAGCTGAGTGTGACCCCCGCGGGTGACCTTTCCTTCCTTTCCCCATGCAGGGTGGTCAGTACACAGCTGCCGCCTGAGCTGACTGCCAGGGTTTTGCTGCAGAAGGGAGCAGAGGAGGGAAGCGTAAGTTGTAGCTCTGCCCTTTTGGCAACCCTGGGTGTGTGTGTGTGTAGAAAATGTGCCAGTATCACCTGGATGGTTCTGGTGTAGTAATCGTGGGGGGAGTAATCCTGGTCTGAGAAAAATAACCTTTTTTTTGCGGCTTGGTATCCCCTGGCTAACTCTCTCTGCTTCCATTCCAGAGTGGGCCGGAAGAGGGAGCATCTCAGCTCAAAGAAGGTAAGCGGGGAGGCTGGGCATGGCTCCGTCCACCCTCTGGAGCCGGCCGTTCAGGCTCTGCTGCCCCTCCTGAGCGCCTGAGGATTCTGGACTGGTCATTTCTCCAGGCAGTTCCCTGACCTCTTTTGCGCTGACAGCTTTACCGCCCGGGGTCTGCGTCACGCCTGTTTACCTCTTGGAGGCCGAAGCAGCCGCCCTGCGGGAACTGCCGGTAGAATGGATGACCAGGTAAGGCCAGAATCCGTTGCAGCTCCAGTGTCTCCATCAGGCTCTCCGAGGGGATTCCCGGCCTCACTTCCTCTCTTCTGTTGCCAAGGCAGGTGCCCTCTGGCCTCCCTCTGCCAGTCCAGGCGGCTCAGCTGCCTTCTAGTGGGATGAGCAGGGACAGCGTTGATGCTCTGTTAGTGTCCAGAGAGCCAGCCACTCCCCAGGGGTGGCAGGGGCCCTTCCAAGGGGAGGCAGATGGGGATAGGCCGGCTCAACCACCTCGTTCCGCCTACGCAGGGGGTCCCAGGAGGACTTGGCCAGCAGCAAAGGGAGCGAGACTCCCGCAGGAGGAGCAGACGGAGCCCCCTTGGTGAGGATGGCCTTGTACGTTCACCACATCCGGGGCTTGGTGCTGGCCCTCCTGGCTGAAGAGCCCTTGGTGAGCTCCGCAGACTTCATGGAGGATGTGGTAAGGAAAACGCTCCCTCCCTCCCTCCCTCTCGCTCAAGGCCCTGAGGGCAGCTGTTCAGGAGGGGGGGCCAGGCTGGCTCCCCTGCCTTCCAGGACCTTTTCTGGGTTGGCCTCCTGCAGACAGCTTCCCAAGCGGGACTCTGTGTGGGGGGGGGGGGAAGCTCTCACAAATCTTTCTCTCTCTCTCTCTTCCCCCCAACCTCCTAAACCCACAGTACCACAGCAGCCTGGCTTCCCTGAACGGCCTGGAGGTGCACCTGGCAGAGACCCTTCCCAAGGGCCCCCTCCCCTCCTCCAGGAGCACCTACAACTTTG